TTCTTTGTCCAACCACCCTGTATGGTTCCATACCTTCCATTTAAGCTTAGGTGATTCCAGTAATTGATTTTAAAACTTGCCTATATCTTTCCTTGAGCCCCTCCCCGGGCTTAGCAGTGCTCTGGGTTCATTAGGACTTGCCAGAAAAACTTCCATAAGCACAGTTCTGTGAACCATGTTTGGGTTCCAGAAGCTGCAGGGAATTCAAGAATTAACATACACACAAGCAGTGGGTGGCACACAGGTTATGAGCAGTGAGGCTTGTCCTTAAAAATGGCATCTGGAAGTTGTAGGTGAGAACCTGAGCTTCTAAGCAGGGAAATGTGCACCAGAGGGACTTCCCTTGTAGACAGGAAGAGCTGTGCTCCTGCTTCTGACCCTGACTCCAAGTAATCTTTTAAAAATTCAGATAATGTGACAAAGTGCTTCACTGAAGGTTCTGGCAGACCTCCATGAGATCCCTGGCGAAGCAGTTACATAGGGAATCTGTGCAGTCTGCACTTCAGTGTGGCTGTAAACCGTATGGGAAAGGAAATAAGGTGACAAACTTTTTAAGAGAAAGGAAAGCAGGTGACAAAATTTTTAAGGGAAAGGGTTGAGTATTTGTGAAGTTATATAGATGCGTGTGCATATATGTGCCCCTGTGTATAGATTTTACACTTAACTGTGAAGAGTTGTAGGAAAGCAGCATGGTTTGGAATGACTGGCCTTTAAAATAGCAGATGGAATTAAGTGTAGATACATGTGACATTTTCTGCATGGGAGGAGATAACAATTCTTGATTTACATTTGCAGTGATGCCTGAAATATCCACTAATGATAATAATAATAATCTTGGTGTTGTGTGGAAAATCACATTAGCCCAATGCTCACTTGTTGTAAAACTGCAAGTAAGATATTAGGAATGATTAGAAAAGTAAGAGAACAAAGCATTGTGTGGGTGTATAAATTCTTGGTGCTCTCCTTTCATCGTGGATATTGTGTGGTTCTGCATCCTCTCCTCCTGCTCAAAAAAATGTGAACTAGACACAGTACAAAGGTAAGAAACAAGGAGGGTCAGAGTTACAAAGCAGTTAAACTGTTGGCTGAGCTCGTGGAACTTCCTGCCACAGGATTCATTGGGCACTAAAAGTCAGTGTAGATTCAAAATTCAATGAGGTACAGGTATGAAAGAGGAATTTTTGAGGACTGTTATATCCTCAGGTGAGGAGGTTCTCAAATAGCAGTTCAGGTGTACCTGGGATGGTGGGAAGGGAAAGTATCACTCTGGCCTCACCTTATTTCTTTCTTCAGCTCTGCTGCAGATACCTGTTGGTCTCAGCCTTCTCTGCTTTCACGGATAACACATTTTCATGTAGAAAAGTTTTGCCTGGGCTCTTTTGGTACACAGTGTTGATGTGTTCCATGTGCAGTGTTTGAAATGTAAAACATCACTGACACTGGCTTGTGATAGGAGTAATGAGGATGTAGTACTTCTGTGGCTGTTGTAGGAAATCAGTTCTAGAAATCAGCATTGTAACTCCCAAAAGATGGAGGGAAAAATATAATGCCCCCTACGTTCCATGTGCTGGATGCTGCTCAGACTTGGGAGTTTTAACTAATTCAGCTTACCCTTCCAGTATCATTACTACCTGGTTTTAGCCATAAGCTTTTAAGGAGCACCAGGTTTTGTCCTCTGCAGGTTTATTCATTTTAAAATTTGATGGCATCCAGAATACCTAAATTGGGGATTAGTAAATCACTATTAATGCTGCTTTGTACCGTTGTAGTTGTTACATTTGTACTGTCACTGCCTCGAGAAAAGCAAATCCAGCAACCAGCACACAGATTGCAGGTGGACCAGTGTGTAATTAAGGAAGGAGAAACTATTTTCCATGATGCACAACACTGTCAGAGTTGCTAAAAATGTGATATGGTGCAAATCTCTTCTATGTATGTAGTACCTATGTGTTAATACAGCACAGCACATAGAGCCATTTGAGGATTTATGTTCCTTACTGCATCCAGAATTATAATTTATGAAGTTACAGTAAAGCCTCCATAAGATATTTTTTACAAACCAAACTGTTCCCTTTAAAATAAAATCTAAATTAGTGGAAAGACCTGTTTGAAACACCACTGTGTTATGAATGGCAGAATTGCCAAGATGAAAAATAACAAGAAGGGTTATTTTTCTAGCACAAATATTTCAGTAAGTTAAAGGGAGTGGCCAGATTTCAAATGTATGATTTGATCCAAGTATTCTTAGAAGGTTTGGTCCAATCAGTAGTTTTTGTCTGAGATTTTTTGAATGTTTATTTAGATGATTTACTGTTTGCTGCCTCTTCCTATGCTAAGCAGAGAAGATACAGCTGTTAGTTCTGACATGGTTATGGTGTTCCCATAGATCTGCTGTGCAGCTAAGTCTGTGAGTTAGGAATTTAAACACACTGCTGTAATCCATACCTCCATTCAAATGGGATTATTTGCCCTCATATTTTTACATAGAGGCTGAAAACAAAATGGAAGTTGTTAGAAACGTTTCTGTGGCACTAGCTGTAGGGAACAGGACACACAGCATTGTTCTTCCCTTTCTAATTTCAGCATACTTCAATTTTTAATGTCAGAAAGGAGTTCTTGCCTGGATTATATTGCAACAAACTTGCTTGTGGTTGCAATACTAGTTTTCTTGAGTGCTGTTTTGGAAAAGTCCTTCCCAGCTGCCCAGGTACTCTTTGGGGATTTCTGAACCCATGTTCTTGCAAACAGAATGTGACATTCTGACAATGAGTCTTTGGCTGTAACTTGTACCACCGGTGGTCAGAGTTCTGCAGGTGTTTTCTGTTTAACTGGAGTATTGATAAGCAGTGTCAGATTGGTTTCAGTTTACTTTAAAGTAATGAAGCACTTTCTTAAGCACAGAGATGTGCACAAATCTGTGCACAAATCTGTGCACAGCTCTGACTTTATTCTGTTATCTGAGCACTTTTTAAATAGTGCAAGTCTATTAAACACATGTATAAGTGTACCCAACTGGTACACTTTCCTCTTGATAGCAATTGATAGCTGAACCTGAGCATTGCTCACTGCCTTAAGGTGGAAAAATATTTTGGCAAATATAGAAATCATAGAGTCATTGCACGGTTGGCATTGGAAGGGACCTTAAAGATCACCCAATTCCAACCCCCTGCCATAAGCAAGGGCATCTTCCACCAGACCAGGTCGCTCCAAGCCCTATCCAGCCTGGCCTTGAACACTTCCAGGGATGGGGCAGCTACAACAATCTGTGCCAGTGCCTCACCACCCTCACAGGGAAGAATTTCTTCCTAATACCTAATCGTTCCTCTTTCAGTTTAAAATGGTTCTGCCTTACACTATCATTATCTGTCTATGTAAAAAGTTGCTCTTCCTCTTATAAGCCTTTTTTACGTAGTGAAAGCCTCAAATACATACTATATGGAGATCAGAAAATTATCTTTAGACCTGTTGGGCACCTTACAGGTGCTCTGAGAGGTGGAAATATTGATGTCTAACTTATGCTGAGTCCACAAAATCAGAAGATTCAGCTTCTATTTTCAGAGTGTTCTTGAAAGGTCACTCAAAATGTGCACCATGAGGCTTTCTTGTCAAAGCACACGTGTGTACCTGCACACCTTCTGGCTTCAGAGCATGATGGTGTCACTGAGGTCTTACAGGGCAGATCTGTTCCATTGCATACACAACTCTTCTTCCACTGAAATTTTCCTGATATGTTAATTGTGTTATTTGTATCTCTGTGGCTGATTTCCTTGATTGTACTTGATGTTTTGTACAATAGATCATTAAAATATTAGGTGCTCAAATGGAGTATTACTTAAAATATTCTAAAACCTTTCTCCAACTCTTTCATTTTATTCTATTTTATTTTCATGTGTGTTCCAGATTTAATTTTCAGAAGTTTGAGCCTTAAGGAAGTCCCTAGATGTCTTACGTATGTTTCTTTTCTCCAAACTGTTGCTTTTGTCTACAGCTTTTAGTCTTTAAAAGTGCTGCACTTGCTTTCATTGAGCTGTATGTAATTTTTTATCACTTGAGTAATTATTTTTATCCTAGTAGACTGATAAACAAGTTGAAAAGCAAGGCCACAGCTCCTGTTTGTTTAGTAACACCCTCTGCAACCTTGTTCTTACAGCCAGTGGTGCAGCTCACAGTGCTCTGTGTTGTGCTTTTTATCCTCCAGCAACACTGTCAAACAGTAACAGAGGAGACTCCAAAACATCTCAGAGCTTTTTCTGGCCCTTACAGGAGTTTCCACTCATGATCGTGTGTTTGGCTAGAAACTATGCCCCAGCATCAGTCAGTGTTTGGTGTGTCTTCTCCTGGTTTAGATCAGTCTTCTTTGCTTGCTCAGTCCAGTGACACATTTTAGCAGCAAATTATTTCATGTAATTACAGTATCTACTTTGGATATTACTTGGAAAACTCTCAGTGTGTTGTCTCAGTATGGTAATACCTTTGTGCTCAGATCCATGTTGGTTAGTAATGGTCTTATGTCACCCTGAGTCTGCCAAGGGAAAAATGTGTTGAAATAGAAGGAAGGGGGTCTCAGTATGATGGAGAATCTCTGTGAGGTTAAGACTTGAGGAAGTCTTCTGAGGTAATAACCATACATCCTAAATCCATAGAATCACAGAATGTTAAAGGGTTGCAGTGCACCTGAGACATCGTCTAGTCCCAACCCCCTGCCCTGGGCAGGGACACGTCCCACCACACCAGATTGCTCAAGGCTTTATCCTGCCTGGCTTTGAACACTGCCAGGGATGGGGCATCCACAGCCTCACTGGGCAACCTGTGCCAGTGTCTCACCACCCTCACAGCTGAGAATTTCTTCCTAATATCTAATCTAAATTTCCCCTCTTTCAATTTATACCCATTAATCCTTGTCCTATCACTACAGTTCCTAGCAAATTTAGTCATCATGATCTGGAAAACCAGGCCTGTACTACATTAACTTATTTTTCTGCTGTCTATTTTTTTTCTAGTGTCCCAATGTAATATCAGCCTGAAGAAGCAAAGGAGTCGAAGTATCTTTAGCACCTTATTCTGCTGCTTTCGTGACTACAATGTCGAACCACCATCTACCAACAGCACCAGTGCTCTGCCTCCTTTGGTGGAGGAGAATGGAGGACTTCAGAAGGTCAGGATTTTATCTTATTTTGCTGTCACAAAGCTCTTTTGTAACCAAGGTTTAGCTCTGCCCTTCCAAAGGTTTATCTTAACAGGTTTCCCTCATGGGGAACAGTTAGGAGTTACAGAAAAAAAATTCCTGTTTTGATGGTGAATTGCTTATACTCTCTGTTCAGCTGCAGTTTAAAACTAGTGTTTCCATAAAGGGTGTTGGCACTATACATTTAACATTTAAAACCTGACTAAGACATTAAAAAATGTAGACTTCTCGTAAAATTTCAGCTGCTGAGTTGTCTCTAAGCTTTGGTTCTCTTTCCTGACTACAGGAAGGCTAGAACGTGTCCACTGGAGTGTAGTGGAACCTTTTGAATATCACTTAAAAGGGGTTTTAGTGACATAAATCAAAAAGGGAGAGAACCATTATTATTTGGACCTTTTCTTTCTAAACAGTTCACTTATATTTAATATACACTGAGTGCAGAGAGATTAGCATTTGGCCATTTTTCCAGGTTACTAAGTTTTATTTGCCTAATAAGTCACATTAATTGCTAGAAATTTTAGCACTTCAAAGCATTATGTGTAACAGCAACATGTGATTTCTTTGAGTTTTAGTCATTCTGTTGCTTTGACATATTCATAGAATCAGAACACAATTTTATATGTTCTCTGTTAGTCTGATAATACAGAGAGCATTTGGGTTATGAACTTAAGAGTTTCTGTTCAACATGGCCAACATAGGGATACCATTTTTTCCATGCATTTTTCCACGACTTTGCGATAGCAAATGTATGTGTATTCATGGTGGGGAATAATAATCGCAGAAATGGAGATGTCTCTATCTCTTCACCCTTCTGCTATTCACATTTCATGTCTGATGCAGCTGATTTCTTACCTACTTGTCCAGTCCATTATATTCTGGTTTGAATTCTGCTGGTTAAGTTTGAATTCTGAAAAGCTCAGGAGAAAGAGCAGAGGAGCAATTTGGTGGGAGAAAGGAAAGGAAAGGAAAGCAGATTAAAGTGATGGAGACTAAGAGTACGTGTGGAGGTGAAGTCTGAACTGTAACAGTTCATGCTGAAACTGCTCACGCAGAGGTGAAGTGCACTGAAAATCCTGCCAAGAGGAGGAATCATACATATATTTTTAGACTTCATCTGCTAGCCAAGGAACATTTTGACTGAAAGGAGGGGAATCTAGCCTGGATGTGCTGAAGGGAAAGCTGAGTAGTGTGTAGCGTGTACGCACATGTTGAGCTGAGGAGCAGAAGGAATGGGAAGTAGTAAAATTTCCCTTTCCACTACACTGGAGAATGGAAAGGAGACAGAATTGAGGCTACTGGCAACACTACAGCTGAGAGAAAATGGGAGTTCATCGGAAAGAAAAACATAAAATGAAGAAGAGTTTGTTTTTTCTATAGAAAATGTGAGTTTAAATGGTTTAGAGTCAGTAGTTTCCAGATTGCATTTTGTAAAACACTTAATTACTTTCTAAATATATCTTATGCCTCGAGTGAGAGATTGAATGTGTACTCACACGAGTTTCCATCCTCACTCTGTGCTGCCTTGGTGAGCAGTTTGGAGTTGTGCAATACTTGTTCACAAGATCAAGGCACAAATCACAGCATTCCTAAAATTACCAGATTACCAGAGTAAAAAAACATGGAGTGTGTTAAAAAGAATTAGTAAAGAGTGTGTTTTCTTCAGCTGAATAAAAGGCACTCAGATACCCAGGTCTTTTTAAAAGAAATCAAGTATAGCTAAGCTTTTAGGTGGTTCTTAAAAGAGGGCAAATAAGTGACATTTCTATTTTAAATGCAGCATTAAAGACTAATTACCTTTGTGCTATTTATGTGTATATGTTTTTATATGCTGTTTTTATTTCGAGTGCTAACAAGGTTCGTGCAAGTAAGAAATTCTTTTTTAGTAAGAGAAAGAGCCTTGAAGACTTGGCTGTGTTTGAATATCATTACCCTGTCAGGCTGGTGCTCTTACCAGCAGAGCTGTTTCAGAACTGTGCAGGCTGCTTGAATTTGATGGAGTTACACTGAGCATCTTGTCTAGATTCAGAATTGATAAGCTGGGGGAAAGTACATGCAACAGTGGGCCTTGGATTCTGAATTGGTGAAATTAAATGTCCAGGAGTGACAACATTTCCTGTTTTAGAAAAGAAAATAAAGCCTAACAACACTGCTGAATTTCTCTGCTGTTTAATTACAGCTCTTCTTGGCATTACTCTCACTGCCAGGTTAGAATAGCTTGAATTCTGTTGAGCTGCTGCTCAAGTGGTCACTTACTTACATCTGCTCTCTCTTTTATATGTTTTATTAATTATTTATCACATCACAATTGACCTCTTGCCATGGCCTGGTCAGCTCATGTGTTGTGACCCTTTCCTTCAAAAATGGACAGAGACATCTAATTTCACAATAATGTTAAACAGTTACCACTAGAAATGAGCATAAAATGGCTTGGATGTACTTTCCCTTTGTCTTTACTGTTCAGTAGAGTTGTTGCATGAAAACTGGTGATAAAGACTTCAGAGGAAGGGAAGAATGGGAAAACTTCTTCTGGTCTCACAGGAATTCAGTGTTTGTTCTGTATTGCTTCTGGCATATTCTTGAAGCTGAAATTGATGTGACAAGCTAACTTTCTTCTAATTAGGAATCTTGATTCCTTAAATGCTGACCTGTTCAAAAGGAGGGAAAGCAGAGAGGGAGTGTTTTATAAAGTAATTGAAAACACAGTTCTGAAATTTTGTTCTGAGAAATCGCATTGTGCAATTTAATTTTAATTATTATTATTTGACTGTATCAGAAAAAGAGGGAGATCGGTGCTTCAAATGAATCAGTGCTTTGTTTAGTATTTTTCCAAATTATGTGAGTTAATTATGCTTGGCACATCAAGTGTCAATGTCAGTTCTTCATAGCACTCAAAGTAAAACCAAACTGACCATGGTTTTGGCAGTTTTTTCAGCACTGACTTCTGTTCGATTAGGGGGAAAAAAAGCCCAAAAACTTCTTTAAAGTATTGACTTCACTTTTAAACCTTCTACTCACAGAGCAGCTGCTTGTCCAAGTGTGACTCTAATACTGGTAATGAATGGTCCATTCTGTCTCTGAAGTTCCAGTACAACATTTTTTCAATAATAACTTGTATTTACTGCAACTGTGGTATATCTGTGTTCCTTAAAATGCAGGAGCTATTGAGCACAGCATGAAGATGCATTTTAAGGTGTAATAGCTATGACTGGGTATGTCAGCCTGCCTGCAGCTTGGGTGCTGAGCCGGATGTGTCAGGTGGAGCACACAATGTCCAGTCTCATGAAATCCTTGGGAATTTTTTCCTGCCTCCTTAGCAGTAGGCAGCTCACCAACACCTTCCAGCAACATTTGTTTTGTTTAGGGGCCTAAGAGTTGGGAGAGAGTTGTATTTTGTTTTCTTCCAAATAAGTTAAAATCTCAATTTCTGTTCTTCAGTTAGCAATTCACTCAATTTGTGTATTTTCTGGCCATGCTGCTGGATGTAAGTTTTTGCTTCTGAGTAAGTTTCTTACCTGAGTTTTGAGGTATTTGCAGGTACAAATTTCATCTGCAGATTCCAAGGAGGAATCCAGATAGAGAAAGGTGAGAACAGCAAGATGCAAAGATGCTCTGTGTTCTCTTTCAGTCATGGTGGGTGAAGGAGATCTGACATGTCTCTCGGCACTTTGCCATTTCTCTTACAACCCATTTCCACTGGAGTCATCTTTGCTTTTGTTTCTCACCGAGATCCAGATCAGGCAGATGGCTCATGTTAACGAGATGAAGCATGAATAAGGGAAGATTTTTATACTTGTTGGATTAGAGAAGAAGGTCTTGATCCACACTCAACAGGGAAGAAGATGGAATTAGAAGGCTTATTCTGGGGGCAGCAGCAGCCCTTACTGCTTTTTTTGTAACTGAATTTCCATCTCACCCATCTGAACCATTAGAAAAGTTAGGGCTCCTTCTCCCCACTGCTTTTTGCTGCATGTTGCTATCATCTCCAAGGTGATACTGGAAAGCTGTTTAGATGACCTACGGTCATGTCTCGAACACTGTTGTCTGCTTCAAGGATCTCTATTTATAACACAGTGCAGAAAAAAGGATCTTCTCTGTCCCACATGAATATAGTCCAGCAAAATGCGAAAAAGCTTTTTGGTCAAAGTAGTATCTCCTTACCTGGAGGAGCAGCATAAGTGTGGGGTCTTTGATGGGGAGACTGTTAATGATGTGCATTCCAGACAGATGTGGAAACCACTCTCCAGTGTGGAGGAAGATAATGGAGATTAATGTAAATCATAGTCCTTTTTCTCCTGCTTAATCTTCACTGATTAGACCAAGAAAATTCCTAGTGTTTGGTTCTGTTGGTCAACATCAATATGTGGTATGGAAGGTCTCTTTAGAAAACAAACACCCCTCTGCATAGCTGTGTTTGACTTCTCTCTTTGGTTACTCATTCTGACCTTCTTTGCCTCCCAAAAAGTCTTCTATATGAAGAGACAAAGCTTGATATTCCAAGTCGATGAGAGAGTCAAGTAATAACTATAGTACCGTTTTTACAGAACCTGTCATGGTCTAGAATAAGCTTTGTGTTAAAGACACAAATATGATAAAACTGCTACTCTGGTCAGCTTCTTCAAAATGAAACAGCTCCTTATCTTTGAATACAGACTGTTCCCAAAAAAGCAGAATAGTGTGGTCTGTTACCTGGTGCTCACTGTCCCTTACATGGCCAGGGGCAGTGTTAGTGAATGACACAGTACTGGAAATGTTGTGTGTCTCAAACTAAAATTCCATAGCTAAGGGAGAAGAAAGGATTTATCATTTCATCTGTATAAATTGTGCCTTTGAAAAAAAAAAAACAAACCTGATTTCAATGGCTAGACAAATCAGTTCCTGGGTTTTCTTAGCAATACAATAGGGAAATTTTGGCATTCTAGGAACAGCTTTGTCCTGTTACCAACATCAGGAGCTCATGGAAAGCCTTCAACAAATGCAGTCATCAGTCATTGTTTCAAATGATACCGTCGTGACCTATTTCCCTTCCTGTTCCAAGGCATTAGGAAATGAGGCAGGACACTTTTAAGAAGTTTCCCATAGCAGGTTTGTTTTTAAGAAGCATTTGCCTGTTCATGAACACTTGCACCTTCCCAGCAGACTCTTGCATTTATCTTTCTGCTTGTTTTTCCTGTTCTCTCGTCATTAGCATTTTGATTTTTTCAGAGGTACTTTCAGGATTCCTCTTAGGAAATTTACTTCTCTCCCCCTTTTTGTTTAATTTAAGAAATACTCTGAGAAAAATAAAGGAAATAGTAATGCAACTCCTTGAGCAGCTTTGGTTCTGAGTTCCCAGGAAAGTCAGTTCCACTTACAGCACATTAATGTGCTAAATCTTTTTGCTGTTACCTTGAGGAAAACGTGGATTCTTACCAGTTTTTCTGTTTGTTGGTTTGTTTATTCAAAAAAATAGAAATCAGGTACTTTTTACTGATGCAAAGTTTTTGATAGTTCATGGTAGTTGCTGCCCTTTAGTTGCTTCTTCAGCTTCTCTGAATTGAACTTCAATAAAAATTTCTGCTGTTAAAGCATTGAAAAAGAGCAGTTTAAAAATAAAGCTGAATTATTTCTGTTTGTCAGTGATGTGTCAATGCTGTGGTAGACTTGAAAACAAGCAAGCACAAGACTTCTTCAGCTGGAAGAAGCTGTTCAGATGTTGAAAACACCTTTCTTCAATAGTCAAATCTGCTGGAAGTCAGAGCCTGTGTTGTCCACGTATTAAAGAATAAAATTACCTACACAGCAACATCTATACTAGAAGGATCAGCTTCCTTGTTTTTGTGCTGTGTCTACCAGAAAACAAACACCTGTTCCCATATTCCAGAGTCTCTTACATAGTGGAGTTGGTGTCCCTGTGGTCAGCCTTTCTCCATTTTGGAGCTGTCCTTGTCTCCCTATGTCAGGTCCCAGGATAAGAAGAAATGGTCAAGTTGGTCAAGACTTTCTCACCTTCTCCCAAGTACAATACAAGAATGAGGCTATGGGAAGAGCACTGATACTGTTGCCTCTTTCTAGGTGAAGAAAGTAGGATTTCTTTGATTAGTTTATCAGCATTGTGTCCTTCTTGGACATTTTGCTGTTGCCTAAATGAAAATGCTGTTTTTTCTGAGGCGATTGGCTCAAGTGAAGTTTAGTTAAAGTGTGAGTTTCTGCCCTGCTACCAAGGTCTGGCTCAGCCTCAGGTTGCTGCAGTGAAAAACTGACAAATATACCCATTAGTTGATCTTAAAGCTGATAAAGTTACAGTAAATACAGGTCCTTTTTTATCATCATCTCTTATATTAATCATAGCATGGGTTTTACCAGTCCAGTCTCCTAAAATCACAAATGCCAATATACTAACAGATCATTTCAGCAACTAAAATGCAAGATCCTGGTTTTGTTTTTTTTTTACCCTGGTTTCTTGAATACTTTGAACTTTTGGTTTAAAATGTTTGAGTGCTACATTTACTGCTCCAGACCTTTGTTCTACCCTTTAAAAGCCATTACCCTTACAGTGATTTTTTTTTCTTTTTCCCCAGGGTGACCAGATGCAGGTCATGCCTATACCAAGTGTATGTATTTTTATCCCTTTTTCTTTTAATAATTTTCATTACTTTTGCTTTGATTCATCTTATGTTGCTGTCTAACAGGTCTGTTTTGTGTTGCATGTTAACAAAAGGATTTTATGTTGTGTCTGTAATGTTGTATACTCAGATGAATTGAACTGCATGTGTTGTACAGGGACTAAAAAGAAGAGTTTGGGTTTTATATGGATTTCGTGGGGTTTTTTTATCATTTTGAAAATGTGTGAAGTAGTCTGAAAATTAAAGTTACTAATTTTATTAGAGGCAAAAGGTGACTCATCATCACTATGTGAGACACAGTTATGGAAACCTTTTCCTCTCATTTTTTTCCCTGTATTTCTGTTGAAAAGAAGAATTAGAAGCTGCATAATTTTGTTGAAACAAGTCACTTTAGGCAAACAAAGAGTACACTGACCATAGCTGCATTACTGTACTTGTTTGAGATGATGGTCTTGGTATCAGCTGCTGTTTTATGGACCATAATGTTTCTGTTTATCTTCCCTGGATTAAACTTGGAATGCTATTTGGCATCTGAATTATTTTTCAAAGCTAAATAAAAGGAAGAAAAAAAATTCTTACAACTGAAGCTTTTAATTTAATTAGTTTTAACCTTTTTTGGTCAAAAAGCTGCTCTTTTTCTACTTTTTTTTTATGAAGATGAAGGCTTAGGCTTTTGAAAGCTGAAAATACTTATTTATTTTTTTTTTAGTTCCTTTGCTGTTTATAGTACTTTATCATTGCAGAGTTTTCCAGAAAATAGCAGGGCTGATGTGCAGAGTTACTGGCACAGCCTTCTTGTTTGAGTTATTTGGTAGCCCCTGAAGACCTGAATATTCCTGAAGATACATTTTTTTCCTTCTTTCCCTTCGTTCTCAAGTAGCCCAGCATAAACTAGAAGAACCCTGTCTATGCTGCAGTGCCACAGAGTCAGGAGATCACTATGACTGTGCAGATCTTCCCTCTTTCACCAGTTTTTCTTGGATTTAAGAACTGTTGGAAGCTATTCTTTATTGCTTACCTGTTATTTCTAATATGGCTTATGCATATGTTTACATTACATGCATATGACTTGTATATATACAAGTCCAGGAATAAGAACCTTTGGATAGATGAAAATATTGATTTTTAAATTACTTTTCTTTTTCCATACCTGCCACGTTCTGTTAGGTGACTCTAGTTGCTCTCTTAGTAGTTATTTGAACATAAAACACATTCTGGCTGTGCTCTGACCTGGAATGAAATCTTTGCTAAGAGTGAGCGTAGGTATTAACGGAATAAGAATTCAAACAGAAGAAATTTTTGAAGAGATAAATTGAGTACAGCTTTGACAGGTACAGAAATGACATGAGGTGTTTTGTTAGAACACTCTTTGCAATGTTAAAGCAGTGCTCTGTTAGATTTGGGTAGTGGCAGGAAAATGAATGATTCAAGAGGGATTTCTGAGGGTTTTTTCTTTTTTTTTCTTTTTTTTTTTTTCAAAACCTCAGCTGTAATTTTCCTGACCTATATTCCCAGCACTTTAATAAGGCAGTAAAATTAACTTAGCCCTGCAGTCATGATGTGGAATTCTCAGTGAGCAGGTGACTTTAAACACACTCATTCCCCTTCTCCTGTGCCATCTGATGCTTCTTCCAGCAGGACATGGGAGTGTTGTCAAGCAACCGTCGCCCTCGGGCAGTGGTGTGACATTTACTCCACGGTAACAGAGTGCTGCTGGCTGTCAGACAGGGCCCAGCCAGCATTAGTGTGTCAGCATCTAAATAAAGACAGGAGTGAGCTGCACATGGGCAAAGTGGTAGGAACGAAGATGCAGCATTGTATTAGAGAAACACCTAAAATAAAGTGTTCCTCTGCCAGGCTTGTAAGGGCTGTTTGTCCCGAGCTCTGCAGCCCAGAGGTTTGCTCTGTCTGACACAACTCTGAACCATGTGTTTAAGACCCATTAAGGCAGAAATTCGTGATGCTGTGCTACACAGGGATGAGAACTGAGCAGTTGGAACTGTATGTCGTGCATGCCAGGAGAAAAATCATCTAAACAGACACAGAGTGAGCTTGATCACAATTCAGTGGACATTCTGTAGGGCTCGTTGCAGATCTCATCACTTCAAGTGACTAGAGAATTCCTTAGTGACTCTGGAAAGAGCTCTGCCCACTCTCCACTCATTAAACTTTCAAGTTGAAGCCTTCAGACAAAATACTGGGATTTCTGGAACTGCATCATGCATGTCTAAAATCTGGCAGTCTGCTGAGATCACCTGTTTGAAAACTTCCATTGCTTTATGTGCGTTTTGCATTGCTTTTATTGGCATTTATGTGTGCAAATGAGTGAAATTTATCTTCTGCTCGATCAGATTTTTCCTGTCTTAATTGCATTTGATGTAAAAACTTGAGTTAATATGAATTTTCACTTGGTTAAGAGATAACTGCTGAGCAAGAAACTTTACAGCTTCAAGTTAGGTTTTTTAGAAAATATAAACAGCATTACTTTGGGATAAAATATTAACTTTATCCTGTTTGTATCTTATATTTTGAAACTGTTTCCATATAAGGCCTTATTTTCCTAATACTGCAAATGATTTATTTTTAAGGCTGAATTAAACACATACAAAATTAGAAAAAAATCATTACCAGCTGAAACATGGTGACAGACCTGATTAAAAATCTACTAAATGTAGCTCAGGATGCCTGTGCTTTCATGGATTTTTCTCAGCTTTGTTTGGAAAGGAGTATGGTAGAGAAATCATAGAATCGTAGAATGGTTTGGGTTGGAAGGGACTTTAAAGATCATCTAACTCCAACCCCTAAATTAAAGTAGACCCATAGCAACTTCACTGTTTTTCATTCTTTTGAACCAAAAGGTAGATGGAAACACAAAGCCAAACTCATGCAACTTCTTAAAGGAGTTGGAGTGTCCGTTTCTTTTGTTCAGTTTAAAATCCCACTGTTAAGGAGTGGTACCAAAATTATCCCTGCAGAAGTTAAATCTTAGCCTTGGGATATTGGATTTTTTCACATGTCCTCATCTACATTTAGACAATTCCTTGACAGATCTTTTTCTAGAAGATATTTTGGGAAGTGCCTGTTCCATAGCAGGAGCTGGCATCTTCTGGCAGCTGTGTGTTAGGTAGGAATAATTTTTCTTCTGTAAGAGTATTTCTGTGTATAACTGCTGGGAGAAGCTGTTAGCTCTGTAGAGTACAACCCAAATTGTGAGTTGAAGGGGACATGAACAGTAAATTAAGTAGGCTAAGACAACATTGCCAGGGTAGGGAAAAAAAGGGCTTGTTAATTCTGATATTTGTCTCTGTGGGAAATACAGGCCTACAGGGAAGAAAGCTGATGATTGTTTTATACAGTAAATTTCTGAGAGATTTGTGTTGACCAGCTGTTTATGCTTCAACCAAAAGTCCTGTTCTCCTGCCACCACCACCCCCTTTTTTTTTTTTTTTCTTAGGGAATATACTATTTCCACGGGACTGAAGCAGTGCAGCAGTCGTTTCACTACAAGGTCTGTTAAGCTGATCAGCCATGAGACCTGGCTGGAATGCATAAATCCCAAACAGTGACTAGTTTAACTTGTATACAATTTATGTCTTGTTGGAACTGAAGACCAAGCTAGGACTTACAGTGCTGAGATACCATGTGTTATTTTTCTGCTGAGTTCTGTGGAAGTCTGCAGCCTTTCAGGGAGTATCATGTAGTAAATATGAGTTGCTGTTAGCCACAATTAAATATTCTTAATCATCTTGGAGATCTTTAAAGCTACTATCTGTTTAAAAAAAATAAAATTACCAAAGTTCCGTAACTATTTGCTATTAACTTTAATGGAAATCTGGTAATGAGAACTTTTCTTGGATATGTCTCCATTAGTGAGGAAATTAAAGCACAGTGTTGAGTAATGCTTGTTTCTGCCTAAAAGCTTTGCACTTTGCTTTAGATCAGAAAACTTGAACAGCAAAACAAATAGACTGATACCCTATGCACAAATCCTTTAAGTTCCTAAAGCCTCAAAAATGCCATCCTTGCTCCAAAGGTCCTACCCCAGATGTTTAGCAGCCTCACAACTTGCAGTGCCTTCAGCTTCAGAATAGTTTCCTTATCCCTGTTAGATTTCAAGGGATGAATGTGTTTTCACCATTGAGGGCAACAGAGATACAGCTTGTGAAAATGAAAATGTGTTTCTTTTGATCTTCAAATGGGTGAGCATTGGAAACAGGATCAGATTGAACTCAAGATGCCGAAGCCTGTAGGAAGGTTGGTGTGCCCTAGTGGGAGAGTTTCCCCAGGCAAAACCTTGAGGTTTAGTCTTGCTAGGTAAAGTTAGGTCAATAACTGCATGTTATCTCCTAATACAATACTGAAAAGGGAGAGAAAGTCTAGCAGTGACCACCACCTCTGTGTAGATACTGCAGGTAAACTTATTCCTCTTCCAGCCACTGCTTTTGAGAAAGCAGAGGTGCAGGTGGGTGAAAAAGATGGGCACAGGCTGTTTCACCCTGCAGTCAAGGAGTTTGAGTTCTCACAGTTGAAAGTTGTTGCATTTTGTAGTCATTGCTATATGTCCATCCTTTTCTTGATGACAGGCACACTAGTTTCCAGAAAAAAAACCCTAAAGATATCTGTGATAAAACAGTGCTCATATTTTTCATATACATATTTTTATGTGGAAGAATATCTATTTCTATATATTCTCCATAGGTATTTTCAGTTTGATAAAGAATTCACATAGCAGGACAAATTTCTGGCTTTGAACTGCTTGTGCAGATTAATGTAGTCAAAAAATCAAACTAAATACAGTTTTAAGAGTAGAAAAACTAATTTAATTATTCTCTAAAAAACAATTATGCTTAGGTTTTCTTGGGCTGTTCCTACCTTTTTCTCTTCTCTGGAGACAAGCAATCAGTATCAGAACATGTGTTCTGAAAATTTTTGTCTTTAAATGGGTTGGATTTTTCTTTCAATAAGCTTTTAGTCTGTTTAGGTTGCAAGTCTGGATCCTTTTTACTATGAAGAATTGAGGTGTGGTGCTAAATACCTTTCGGGCTTTGAAATAGGAATGAGAAACCAAAATTCTTTAGGTCTGTGCCTAGTTGCCAACAGGCAGAGGTAGAGCTGAAGCAGTT